TCATGAGCAACTTAAACTGTTATTCTCTTTTCTCTTACTCTGAGACAGTAGGACTGTTTATTTCACTCTCGCACAATGCTAAGGCAGTCTTCTGGGGAGCCCAGTATAATGAAGTTGAAGAGCAAACCAGGATAATTATAATGACGAGAACGCACAAGAGCAGAGAGCAGTTGGAATCATGGTTTGGAAACATCTCACACTAGGATAATGGAAGCGGAAAGGTGACTAGGCTAGGAATTCAAATGAGCTCGCTGCCTCACCCTCCACACCCCCAACCCCAGCCCCAGCCTCCACCCCAAGGGCTGGACTGACCCATGCTGATACACATTTCATCCACAGTTGGCTTTAAACCATTGATTTTAATCTCCAAACATCTGAGTTTCTGCAGCAGCAGGAGCACAGTAACACTTTATCCGGAAGTTCAGCCTGCAGATCCGGGCACCTTAACAAAGAAATGAATGGCTGTCCCCTTAGCCGGGGCCTTGGGAGGGCAAACCAGAGGGGCCAGAGGCCCGCGATAACTTGTTCTTGATTCTCTTTTGCCATCTAGTGGTGTTTCGCATCTCCCGCATCCCTTTTTCTTCCAAAGCGCCTTCATCCTGACCCACAGCCATGCTCTCCATTTACTAAAACAGTCTTCTAGCCTCAAAACATTCTGTCTTCCGGATTCAAAACCTGAACTTCTGGACCAGGAAACAAACCCTGTGGTCAGGGTGGTTTAAGTGACCTCTCTACAGTTAGGACCCACACAGCAGGTGATCCTTTAAACAGACGAGCCCTTTACTCCTCTGCTTGGAACACACCCAAGGCTCCCATCACATCAGAGTAAAAGTCAGACCTTCTAATGGTCTCTGAGGTTTCCCATGCTTTGGCCTCTGGTCCCTCTCTGAATCCCCATTCACCTGCTTCAGCTACACTGCAGACCTTGCTGTCCCTTCAACACCCCAGGCTTTAGGACTTGTCAGTGTGTGTTCTCTACCTGGAAATTCTCCCTCCAAACAAGTGCACTCACCTCCAAGTCTCTGTCTCAGGGTCATCTACTTGAATGACCTTGCTTTAAAAAAAACTGTCCACTGGGGCCAGAGGTGATGTGAAGATTAAGCACTGGCTCCCACATGGCTGACCCCCACAGTTCAAGTCCTGAACCCAGTGACTTGAAAAACACAACAGGCACATATGTGTGTGCGCCCAAAATCCCGAGAGGAGACTTGAAGGAGAAGCGATTACAGCATGGCCATTCCCCTGAGGGGTGATTTCTCACTTTCCCTCTCTGTCTCTCTTTTTCTGGCAAGCACATGCAACCTATAACAAAAACTAAAATAAATACTAATAACTGCCCACACCTGCTATCTCATTTGTTTGCTTAGCAATGATCACTTTGAGAAAAATATATACTTACATAAAATTTTAAATTATTATTTATTTAATTTATTATTATTATTATTTTGCTTGCTATAATACACATGCATTCACCGGAGAGAGGCAGACAGAGAGAAAGAAAATGAGAAGGAAAGTGAGAAAGCAAGCCGCCAGGTCCGGGACTCAAATCGTGGTTGGTCATGTGGGAGTCCAGCGCCTTAACCACCATGACACCTGCTGGCCCTTTATATAATATTTTATTTCAAGTCTTCATAGTTTGAATGTTGGAATTATCTGTTATTTGATCATTTGAGGTGTTAAACATTGTATATAGGAACAAGTATTGATGTTTACCATGATTCAAACTACTATTGTCCTGTACTCAGAGGGACACTTAGGATAGCTTCAATCTTTCTGAAAAGTTTAGGATTAGCCTAGGACTTTGCACTTTTTTTTTTTTTTTCCTCACCAGAGATAGAGAGATACAGAGGTACAGAGAGAGAGAGAGAGAAGGCGGGAAAGTGAGAAAGCAAGGTGCCGGGTCCAAGACTTGAACTGCAGTCGGCCATGTGAGAGTCCAGAGCCTTAAGCACCACACCACCTACTGGCCCCCACATTTGGTTTTGAAGACTGGAATTGCTCTGCTTCACTTTTTTTTTTTTTTTTTAGTAGTGTTTTCTTTCATCAAAGTATTTTGTCCACTGTTGGAGACAACTTGATTCAAACAAGCTTCTTAGCATCCAGCACTACGAAGCATCCTCCAACACTACGGAGTATTCTTATCCAGACACTTCCAGTACTCGTCCCAGGCCTCTCAGCATGCCTGCCTCTCCTTCACGGCTGAGAGTGCCATCCTGTGGGTCCACTGTCCAGCCTCCCTGGGGTGTGATGGGAGTGACAACTACACAGCCAACAGCCAGCAGAGCCCACCTCGCGAAGACCTCACAACAGCAAAGCCAGTCCTGGCAAAATCACCAGCCTTCCAGTAAACCCTCACAAAGTATATATATAAGTTTAGTCTTTCCCCAATGAAATGTAAACTCCACAAAGGCCAGCAATTTTTGTCTGTTTTGTTCACCAATCTAGCCCAAGTACCTTGGCACATAGCAGGTGCTCAATAAATATTTGTTGGCTACACAAATGAAGCTGATCCTGAGATTCTGAGATTAGCTACTACTTACAGATGAATTCTGAGAACAAAAATACTGTTTGTCGCAGTTTCCCAGGCCCTTCCATCACAGGTAGTGGGTCTCTGGATGACAAGATATCTCGGGTGACTCCCTGCCTCAGCACAGTGGCTCTCTTGCATGTCTTATGTCAAGCTCATGGGGACCCTCACCACAGCACTGACCCAGGTTCTTCACAAAGCTATGACCAGCCCAGAGAACAGGAGGGACAAGACAAAGGAAAGACTAAGGCAGAATACTAAAAGTGGCAACACCAACAACGTTGGGACAATGTTGTTCTGTAACTTTCAATAAAGTAGGGAGGGAAACAGTAAGGATGAGAGGTATTGGTGCCTTTGCTAGGGGAAGCCAGGTGGCCCTGACTGGCACCTGGAACTGGAAAGGCCCAGAGGAACGAATCACTGAGGAATAGCTAAGCTGTTGGAGATGGGGCTGAGCATCATGACGGTGATGACTCATCCACTTCCCTTGTCTCCTCCATCTCCTCCAAAAGATAAGCAGCATCTCTGGATGACATGAAACTATACAAAGAAACTTTCTAGGTAATTCTAGCTGTATGTCAGGTCCAAGAAAAAGTGATCCTTAAGGCTGGTTATGGGCTCTTTCCAAGACCATGAGCAAGAGGTGAATGAAGGAGGAGATAAATGACAACTCTCCCTGAAATTCATGTGTGCAATACCTGGATCAGGTGCTTTACTGAAGAGTCACTAAAACCACGAGGCCAGGGGCCAAGTAAAGTGTTTGGATGGGAGGACTCAGGCCTCCTCATGGCCATGCGTAGGCAGGTACACTAGCTCCATAAGTATCCAGTTATTTGGGACCTGTAAGTGGAGAGGCATGAGCCCAATTCATTTCCTGAACCAGTGACTCCTCTCCAGCCTGCTCCCAAATAAAAGCAGCACAGCCCAGGCTAGGTCTCTGTGAGACAGGCCCTCTCTGACAGCCCAGATCTGACAGCCCAGCAGCAGGCGGACTCCTCCTCAGCCCACGGCAGGAATCACAGCACGAGGACTAACTGAAGAGGTAAGGCTGTGACAGGGCATGGTGCCAAGGACAGAGAGAGAAGGAGGATGCTTCAGGGGCCAGCAGGTGACATGGTGGTTAAAGACACTGGATTCCCACATGGCTGACCATGGCTGATCATGGTTAGAGTCTCGGCTTGCTTTTCCACTTTCTCTCTCTGTCTGTCTCTTTTTCTCTGTCAAATTAAAACTAAGAATAATAATAACAATAAAGTTAAGTAATTTTTTTTTTAAAGGGACACTTCATGGCTGGCAGGTGGTCTGGTGGTTAAGAGCGCTGGACAAGGTGACTACAGTTCAAGTCCCAGACCTGGTGCCTTGCTTTCTCACTTTCTCTTTCTCTGGTCAAATTTAAATAAATAAATAAATAAAGTTAAATAAAACAGTTCTTTTAAAAAATATTTCTTTTGGGAACCAGTAGTTAGCGTAATGGCTATGTTGCTGGACTCCCACTTAGTCGACCTCGGTTCGTGTCCTGGACCTGGTGGCTTAGAACTCATGCCAGGCGTGTGTGCGTATGTGCCCAAGATCCCGAGAGGAGAATGGAGGAGAAGGGATTGTGGCGTGGTCATCCCCCTGGGGGTGATTTCTCGCTTTCTGTCTCTATGTCTCTTTCTGTCTGTCTGGCGAGCACACGCGCTCTATAGCAAAAACCTCTCCAAAAAAAAAAAAAAATCTTTCTTTTGGGATCAGCAGTTAGCATAATAGCTATGTCGTTGGACTCCCATGTAGCCGACTGTGGTTTGAGTCCCGGACCCAGTGGCTTAAACTCATGCAGGGCGCATGTGCGTGCCCAGATCCTGAGAGGAGAATGGAGGAGAAGGGATTGTGGCATGGCCATCCCCCCTGGGAGGTGATTTCTGTCTCTCTGTCTCTCTCTGTCTTTCTGGCGAGCGCATGCGTCCTATAGCAAAAAAAAAAAAAAAAAAAAACCTCAAAAAAAATCTTTCTTTTAAAATAAAAAAGGGACACTTCAGTGAGCGATAAGATATACAAAGGAGGGCATCAATTTAGGGGGGATGAAAATACATATAGGGGACAGGGAGAGAGATGGAGAGGAGGGTGGTAATGAGAATATGGAAGCACAAAATGGAAAAGCATGGAGACACAGATGAGATGAGGATGGAGACATGGATTGGATGAGACACGGACACAGGGACAAGGGGACCCTGATGGGGATGGGATGTGAGGAAGAGAAGACAGAACAAAGCTAAGAGCAACAGGGGCAGAATTAAGAGCATAGGGATACAGGTGAGTGGGGGCCACAGGGTTAAGGGATGAGGTCCCGGTGGATGGGGCAGGAGAGGAAGGAGACAATAGGGGAGGGAGACGGGAGGTTAGCTGGAATGAGCAGGCGTAGGAAGGCTGAACACCCCCTGTCTACTGTCCACAGAAACCCCAGCTCTCTACCTGACTGCTCCCCCTGAGAGAGATGGCACCTGTCAGACTGGGATTCTGCCACTTGCTGCTGCTCCTGCTGCTGGGGCTCTGGGTAGCCGAGATCCCAGTGAGTGCCAAGCCCAAGCACGTGACATCGTCTCAGTGGTTTAAAATCCAGCACGTGCAGCCCAGCCCTGAAGCGTGCAACTCAGCAATGGACAAGATCAACAAGGAAACAAAACGGTGTAAAAATCTCAACACCTTCCTGCACAAATCCTTCTCCAATGTGGCCGCCACCTGCCAGAACCCCGTCAAGACCTGCAAGAACAAACGTAAAAACTGCCACAAGAGTCGCGGGCCTGTGTCCCTGACCCTGTGTGAGCATACCTCGGGGAAGTACCCAAACTGCAGGTACAAAGAGAAGCACATGAAGGCATCTTACACGGTGGCCTGTGACCCTCCCCAGAAAGGGGACACTAGGAAATTCCGCCTGGTGCCTGTGCACTTGGAACCTCTTTAGTTCCCCGACTTCCCCACTCTCAGACAGAGCCTTCATTCCCTCTCCAGGCCTCGGCACCGCTCCCTCCACGCCCAGAGCATTCTCTGCCTCTCACCCCCTGCGGCATTTTCTGGTTCAGGCTAATCCCTAGAGGCTGAAGGGAAACTAAAGCTGATGCTATGGTGATGTGAGCTCTAGAAAAGGTGGTCTTTTACTTTTTATTGCTGTTTTCCCGAAAGCTTACCCTCAAGATCCTCAAGGCAGGGGCTCATCAAGCTCAGGCGTGTGGTTCCTGGTCTGTGCCTCTGCGTGTCTTTCTCCTGCCTCCTCTTCTTACGACAGCATGACAAGGGAGGAAATATGTGGAAAAGGAGTGCGTGAGATTGACGGGCAGAGCTGTTCCTGTTCCTAAACCACGAGTCTTTCCCAGCTCTGACAAGATGATGAGGTGACCTGTCTGGGGAGAGATGGCTGGAAGAAAAGAAGACAAAGAAATATTACTTCATATGTATATAACCCTTCACGCTTTTCATGAGATATCCACATGAATCCTCTAATCCCTTAGGGGAGAGACTTGACAGGGCTTACGTGCTTTCTTTGTGCACGAGGAACTGAGATTTCAGAAAGCTGAATTCATTACAAGAGCTTGTCTAACTGGTTAGTAGAAGAACGGGGACTTGAACCTAGATCTGCTTACTCTAAATACATTGCACTTTCTATATACCAATTGGGCAAGCAGACCATTGAGGGACTAGAGGAGAACTAGGTCAGAGTTCATATGCAGAAATGTACCCTGAGGGCTCTGAAGAGCCAGTTTACCCTGTGTTGGCTACAAGAAAGGTCATTCCCTCTCTAGCCAAGAGACTTTTTATGAGGTGCTCCAGGATCATAATTCATTCTCTCTTTC